TCTTTGAGATGGTTTCTAAATTGCTCTGATACACACACAGTCAACAAATGCTTTAAACATTCAAACAAGAATATCTCTGCTTACTCTTTACAGTTGTCAGCAGAAGAATTGTGTATTTGAATAAAGGACCATTATAGCTCTGTAAATGTTTGTAAGCACATCTTGTCACCTCACTGGGACCATAATCAGGGTAAACACTCAACTGATCTGAACCAGGACTTCTTACACCGTCCAAAACCTGGTCCTAAATCAAAACTGGTTACTGTTGGGGTTTAGGTCCAGAAGGAGCAGAAGTAAAAACATCTTGATAAAGATGGCTGTTAAAACCTGTGTGTAATTGTGTATTGTTGTGGGTTTTAATAACTTAAAAGGAAATATAACCATATTGTCTGCCAGACGCCTAGTGATTGATGCATGATCAGCATGGAATTTTTATTTAAAATAAATTATTTTAAATTATTTAGCCCCTGCTGCAGCTTTGTGCAGCCCATACTGCAGGATAAACTTCCTGCTGCAGCTGATCAGCTGTTCTCCGTGCATGATCAGATGTTCACCGTGCAGAGCGGAGAAGTGGGCGTGACCAAAAGCGCTTGCAGGTGGCAAAGAGCAGAGGAGGCAGGGAGCTGAAATCATGACATTCTGTGCTCTTTTAGAGAATTTAGAGTTCAGAAACATTGTTTAGAATATGCAAGAGTGTGGGAAGGGTTTAAAATGCCTTTATTTATATATATATATATATATATATATATATATATATATATATATATATTACACTAAAATAAATTACTGCTTGCGGTTTTTCACTTATCGCAGGTCTTCAGTGTATGGATCCCCCCATGATAAATGAGGGACTACTGTATACCGTAGTTAAATTCTGAGTAAATTCATGATCCAGCAAGCTTTGAAAATGTTGCTTGATTTTATATTTATTTGTTTTTTATTGGACTGGATGTTGTTGTTAGAATTAGTCTAGTTAAATTTTTTAAAAACGTTTTTAAAAACTTGATCTTACTTGTAAGCTCATTATCTGCTATATTGGGCACTGCCTAGAAAGGCAGCCAGCCACCTATTATTATGCACCTGAAAAGGGTCTTACTCTTCCTTCAACTTTTAATGTGGCCCGAACCGCAATGTGTACCCCACAAATGTTATATCAAAACGACCGGCTATGCACCGTCATGTGTGCCATTACTTTTATTGGCGTTTCGAGTTACCATGGCGACAATTTGTAAACAACTATACAATTTTTTTTATTGAAAAACACTGACAGAACTCAGTCTCTAACTGCCACAGTGAGGTCGCTTGACCTGGAGAGGAGAGGTCGCTGAACAAAACACCGATTAACTTTTGGAGCCATTTTGGTTCAAAATGGCTGCCACAGCTACCGCAAAATTGACTATAACTCAGTCATTCTTTGAGATATTGAGCTGGAATTTAGCATGGTCATAGCTGAGAGTAAGTTGTTATACAATCCTAATGCAAATCAAAAATCCAAGATGGCCACCTGAGCTAAAAAGAAAAAAAAATACTATAAATCAGCCATTTTTAGAGAGATTAAATTGAAAATTTGTGTGGTAGTAGCTGAGAGCAATGTCCAATAATAATAGGTGTCTGCCTTTACTAGGCAGTCCCCAATAAATACTGAATTCAAATAAAAAATTCAAGATGGCTACCAAAGCTACATTTAAATGGCTTTAACTCAGCTGTTTTTACACATATAGAGCTGAAATTTGGGGTAGTTCTAGCTGAGAACGTTCCCCATCATGTTGAATCCAAATCAAAACTCCAACATGGCCACCATAGCTTAAAAGAAAAAATGAATATAACTCATTGATTTTTTTTTTTCCATGTTGAGCTGAAATTTGGTGTGATGGTAGCTGAGAACATACTGTCAAATCAAAGTTTTTAAATGGCCACAACGTGGCGGTCCCCATCAAAGTTTCTACAGGAACTTTCTATTTAATATTTTCTGCTTTTTGCTAAAGTTAATGCTTCCAGTTTGTCACTTGTACGTTCATTCCTTCCAACTAAATCTTTTTATTCAACACAGTTGCTCAACAACTTGCAATGAAAACCTACTTATTGAGCTTTTGAAACTGATTAATCTGTTGCTTACTCTAAGGTAGTTTCAGTAATAAGAGTACAAACAAGACATGAGATTACAGTTGAGCTCATTTTATTGAGGTTGTTTGATTAGTAAATAATTACCGTGTTCACTGTTTGTCTTCTTTTAGTTGCTAGTCAGTGCTTGGAGAATCTTGATCTTATTGAATGTTAATGGGAATATTCAGTTTGAAATTAGCATTACAAGTGCACGTCAATACTCGTGCAAAGTACAGCAATAAAACAAAACTCATTTAATAATATCACCACAGAATTGAAAATGTACAATAATTTTGTCAGGATTTGTGAGCTGTTAATTTATTTTTAATAGATGTTATCAGTACATTAGTCTACAGGTATTTCATATAGGTTGTGTTGGCAGGATGTTTAGCTTCTCTTTTAATGTTTGTGTGTGTGCAAATCAAAACTTGGTTGGGAAAACTGTGTTTTTACTCTGCTGCTGTGGTGCACTGGCTCATATTCACTTGTACGGGAGTGTTTCTCTGTGTTTTTGAAGGGTGTGTTTTCTTCTTGGTGTAACTTTTGAGACACAATGGCAGTTTATTGTTATAAAGCAGAGAGCATCTTCAACAACGAGGCCCTGCTTTTCACTCTTCAGTTCAAAGTCCTTAGCAGTACCAAAAGAACTGTGATGCCTTGATCTAAACAGAAAGAACTCGTTTGACTCTGTAAAGTGAGTCTTTAGATCATTTTTAATTATGTGTTTTATGTCTTTTTATAGTAGTTATTGTATGTGTCAATAGTCTTGTTTGAGTGTGATTATATTTTAAATTAAATAAAAAAATGAAAACTAGTTTGTTAAAGATTGAACTTTGAAGAGACGAGTGAGAATTCAAAGTGTAATAGTGCGCAAGGGAAGAAATGCATGTAAATATTCAAAGTTTGGCAGAAAAAAAAGTTTATGTGCCTATTTATATAATTATGCAAGTAGTTTAACAAGTAACATACATATTGATAATGAAATTTTTGGCTTTTTATTTTTAATATTTTTGAGTTTGTGAAGCTCAGGACCTTTTTTTATTTTGACATTTTCAAGCTCATAACTTAGTTGAAATTCTAACCAAAATAATTTAAAAAGGATTACTCCAGTCTTTACTTTTTATGACATTATGTTTTGGTTGGCATTGTGTTTAACCATTTGTTTCATTCAAAAATATAGAATGTAGTAATTTCATGTAAACATTCAAACGTTCAAAAATAGTTTTATTAAATTTCTGGAGGACGTTGTATATATTTGCATTACATTAAATGAGTTTTAAATGGGCTTAGTGTCCTTTTTCGCTTTGCAGGTTTTGCTTTTCTGCAGGTTTTTGTTTGTCTTTCTCCTCTAAGCTCTTTGACCCTCAGCCTTCTTTAACTTTTTCAAACTCCCAGTTAAAACGCCTCCCGCAGCCTTCATAACATCACAGCTCGACAGGTTTAACACTGTTTTCAGTATCTGTGTCAGCTTCAAGTTTCCCTGTCTCCCAAACGGCATGATTTATAGTCTCCTGAAAGTTTGCTGGGTGACCTTATCCTTTATCACTTTGCACCACTTTTCCTGATAAACCCTGACCAGGTCTCAGAAAACTTTAAGTGTATAAGTAAATACAGCCACTGAGAGGACTGTTTTCAAATGTTTAATGGCCGAACGTGCTCATAAACAAAGTTTCGGTCTCGTTGTTCTGTTGAAAGCTGAGATTGAGAACACTGATAATTGGGCAGTTTTATGTGAGAACAGAGCAATGCCCACCCATTTTTTAAATCCCCAGCCTTAGCCCAAGTTATTTACTGAAACTGTGCCAATTTTAAATGTTCAGTGATTTAAAGATTACCATGTGCTTTGATTTTGGTAAATATGTAGCGAGTAATGCAAATTTGGTTTCTGATATAAATAATTACAGTATATTTTACTCGGTTTTGTTTTTGAAACCATATACTTTGGTTCCAGAAACCAGATAAATCCTTAATTAAAACAGATTTAGTTCCTTCTCCTGATTAAAAGTTATATAGTTTATAGTGTCACCGTTAATTACTCTTGAGTGTGTGTATGTGGTGTAAATTGGGTAGATTTGAGTGTATTCAAGCCTTTAAAACTTTTCATGTTCCTCCCTCTTTTAAGCACTGCAAAGGGGGGTGGGGATTATATTATACTCCAGCTTTATGAATAGGCTTGAGTTTTTTCTCACACTGAAAGATTGTGTCTCTTCTGAAAGTGGGGACAGTCTCCCAACAATAGCACATTGTACACACCCGCAGCTACTTTTTCACTGCCTCCTCGGTCCTAGTCAGGCTGTGGGCCATCAAAAATCTCAGCTCGGCACTAATTGACTGTCTCTAAATTTAATACACACTTTAAGAAGATGGTGGGCTTGTTGTTTTTGCTAAACCGTCTCTTCTAAATTTGTTTGCGGTCCAAAGAAACATTAAAAGCATATTCAAACAAAGTCACGTGGACATGTCCGTAAATGATTGTTGCTACTTGACATATAGGTCAAAGTCAAACTGCTATGCTTAAGTCAGAAACAGCAATATGAAGGTAAGAGCTGGTTGCATAAACAGGTGATAATAAGTTACTGAACATGACACAAATGACCTGGAAAAAAGAAAAACCTGCAAAATTAAATTTCAGGAAAATGTTTTGAATTGTTTAGAAACATTTGATGCTTCTCAAAAGCTGAAGTTTGTTCCAGTGTTTCATTAAAAAACTTTTTCTTGACAAACTCTTTTCCTGCAAACAGAAGTATGAGTCCGTTGAAACAATGGGAGAGGCTGCTGGACTAATCCTCCACCCATGTGACTCCTCTGAATCATTAACACAAGTGGGCTCCTCCTATAGCAACTTTACACTCTCCTCCTCCTTCCATGATTCGCTGAGATGGCTGTAGGGAGGGTATGATTTAGTTACACTGAGGACTGGGAGGTGCTTGGTCAGGCAGTCCTGCAGAGACAACTGAAGAGAAGACGGAGGAAAACAAGTGAGAGAGTTACAGACAATATGCCTGGCAGGTGGCGTCTCCCACAGTGCTTTGTTATGGAATGCAGGACTTTGGACATGGATAATAAGCCACATTGACGAGGAAACCATCAGCCCCAGGTAGGCTGGATTTAAACGGTAAGAGCCATGAAGAGCCCAGTAGCTTATGGCAACCCAGTCATGTTCAGTCCAGTAAATTGGACTCAAGCAGCCGGTGTTCCATTGAGGAGAGGGAAGAGTGTGGAAGAGCTGGGGGATGCTGGTTGGGCAAGGGAAAGAGAGAGGATGGTCCATCTGCAACAGCTACAGCAGCTATATCAACTGCAGCTTCAACAGCAACAGGTTGGATATGCAGGATATGGAGCTGCTCCTGCTGGACCGCCACAGAGACCTGTTTTAGTAACTCCAGCTCCAAGTCCAGCTCCAGCCTGTCCTATGCCAGTTCCTGGTGCCATGATGGTGCCTGTAGGTGGTTCTGTTCCACCGCCAGGACATGTGTCAGCTCAATGGCCAGTACAATGGAGCAACCAGATCCAAGTAAGACCGGACAACGTTGTACAACAACCACACTGGGAGCATGATGATCAACAAAAAGCAACTTATAGAGATGCAAGAAATCCTGGCCAAAATGTTTACTTCCACCCTCGTTCAGAGGATGGTCACTTGGACTTGAGGATTTCTGAATGGAAGGGCAAACATTGTTTTTACCAAGGACCTGATGATCACAACAGAGTGCCACAAGAAAGAGAAAACTTCAATACTCAAGAGGATTATGGTACACAAGACAAGAAAAGGAGAGGAAGAGATGACTGGGATAGAGAAAATGAACAACATTCTGAACGTTATGATCATCAACGTCACAGAGACCTGGAAGAATATGATTATAATGACAAATACAGAGGTAGGGATCATTATGAGAGGAAGTACAATGAGGAGCATGAAGAAAGGGGGAGAAAGTATCAAGAAACTAGGAGACATAAACAGGATTACAGAGAATATGACCGTTATGATACTGAATATGAAGACCATTATGATCATCAAGACACTTACCTTCAGAGAGACAATTACCGTGACAGGGATTATAATGAAGATCGAGATTATTATAACTCTAAAGAACAGCGTGACTTCAGAGAAAAACACCGTAATCGACAAAGAGAAGAGGACTGCTACTCCAATGAGCGAAGATCCAAAGACCATAGCTTAGATCACCGTGCAGAGGATCGATATGAACGTAGAGAGTACAACTACAAACACAGGGATGACCATGATCCAAGGGGTGAAGAAACACGGAGGAGTAAAGGAAGGGGCCAGTATGACTCTGAAGTTGATGAGCATTGGGACTATAGGGAGAATGATCGGAGGTACAGGTACAAAGATTCAAAAGATGACAGAAGAGGGGATTATTTCAACCACAAACGGAGGGAGTATGATGAAAGAGATGACTATGAGCAAAGAGCAGCAGACTACTATGACCATGAGTATGAAGACCGCTATGAATCAAGAGAAGGTGAACATTCTCGCCACCGACGCAGAGACCGAGTCAAAGATCTGCGCTCCATATCCATGGAGTCCGATTATGACAATCCTACGAGAGATCACAAAACACACTGCGAGAAATGGGTTGAGCAGCAGAATAAGAACTTTGCGCCTCGAGCAATGCTCTCGTTTGAGGATCCCATCGTGTATCAGCACGATGATGACCAGGAAAAGGGGTACGAGTCAAGTGCAAGTTCCAAACTGGGTCGAAAGCCTGTATATGTGGGCTCCCTGGACAGAAACAGCTTCTACAGGAAGACTGCTCCAAGCTCTTTGCGAAATTCCCAGTTCGCCACCACCAGGAAACAAAAGAAAGGTAAACACAAGAATAGTATCATGTGAGAAAAGGTGTTTGACATCCTGTATTTTTACAGCTCGTCAGTATGCAAGATAACTTGGATTGTCATTGCCACATTGCAGTAAATCGTATTTACTTTGGAGTCTTAGAAAAATGATCAAATGGTTTATCATTCTTAATTTTGTAAAAAAAAATAAAAAAAATAAAATAATAAACTAGGTAGGAGAGGTTTACAGTTTATTAGATACACTCCAGTCATTGGTGACCTCCAGAGGTCCTCTTTTAATCAATGCTGGGGGCCTCAGATTGCTGACTTGCCACACTCACCGTCTACCCTTTATTACACACACACAACCTCCCTTTTTCAAATGTGGGTGTGCATGGGTTTGAGTTTCACCTATCTCAGTAGAAAGTGAGCTGTGAGGTATTTGTAGCTGTAAAAACTTACTAAACCAGTTTTGTAGGTTCTTGGTTTTTGTTTTCTGTCATTACCTTACCTTCATCTGTAGGTTTTCTACTTAATGTCATACTCAGAATAGCCAAGGCAATGTGCACACATGACTTGTTTGTTCAGTTCTTGCATGACTGAAAGGTCAAACTTTATCACATTTTCTTTAAAAAAAAAGAAAGACGCAGGGGAATGTGGTGTGCGTTAGGTGACTCTGACACAAAGATGGTTTCAGTTTTTTGCTGCATGCAAACTTTGCACCTAAATAGGATGGATATATATATATATTTTTTTAAACAATGTTTTCAGTGTGATATTTATTCAGCACAGGACTGAATCAAACATCCTACCATCTTTGTAACATGTTAAAGTGATTGTTAAAATTGTTGTGGTCTTAACTAATTTTCCTGGCTTTCACTGACTGAAAATGATACAGGGGGAAATGTTTAAATTAAATCTTCTTTGGTTGTCCTTTGATCATTGCAGGAAAGTGTTTAAATTCCAGTTACGTCCCTTTCTTCTACACTATTCCAGGCTTCAAAACTCTAGATTGGGTTGAATGAGAAAACCGAAACTTTAACGAGACACCTACCAGCACGGCTGCAATTTTCAACCAACATTCAATATGTAGATGAAACTACAATATAGTGGTTATGTAAAAAGGCAAAAAGAACCTCTCAACCTTCATTCTTTAATTTGTCTGATCTTGGCTGTTTAGTAGTGTGTTATGTATGTTCAGAAATAAATACCCCAGTTTAAATCAGCAGATGGTATAAAAGTAGTTTTGTTTATCTTTGGTACAGTCCATGGTAGTGAGATATGTTAAAATGGGGCGAAGAAAAGCCAAAGATTTCTAGACATTTGAGTTTGGATGTTTAAAGCATTAAATGCAGATTGTGCAGGATGTCAGTCAAATGTAGAATTTTGTCCAAATAGTTTGTACCGGTAGTTAGAAAACATCTCAAAGCTACAGGCACCTGGTCAGTTTTACAATTTGAACACGGTACTTTATCTCAACAATACCAAGTCTTCAAATGTATACTTTACCCAACTAACTAAAATAACTAAATAGTCTGTGTGAAAGAGGTCAAAATGTGTCCAAGCTGGGCCAAAGTGTTGTTGTATGTTTCTGGTTTTGGTTAAGAAATCTTTCAACACCCAAGTGTTGTGATGTGGGAGTGAGTTTCACGAGGAGTCGAAAAAACATAGAAGATCACTTCCTTGGTTTACTTTATTCTGTCTGAGAAGAAGCAGGTGGCACCCTGCAGCCCCTCCTTTACCTATAAACCAACACGTGCACAGCCACACACACATGCACAGTCCACAGTGGCCCCCACCACACAGCCTTGTAGGAGTCTGAGAATTAATCCCTAGCGTCAGCATGGTGAGTGGATGGTGGGGGTCTGTCTGGTGCCAGGCGGTGTCCAGCACTGACCTGACTCCTTCACTGCAGCACGAGACTGATGGTGTGTGTATGTGTGTGTGTTTATGCACTAATAGGCCTATGGAGGCTTATAGGAGGACCGACTGAATCTTTCGAAACACAGACACGAACGCACGCTTGCCCGTGCAGTGTTTTGCCATCCGTTAATCTTGTTAAACCGTTTCAGCTCGGTCAGGGGTTTGCTCTGATTGAAGCATTAGGCTGCAGAGCTAAAAACATTAGACCTTCCTGTTGCAGTACTTATTAGGCTTACATTGGGATTCAGTGACATTGAGGTGACGTTCAGGCTTTTTAAATATGAGGTCAGGCCTTGCTCTTCTATAGCCAATCGATTTCACCGTAAGAACCTCAGGTTCTGTTAAAAGTTGTATTTAGATCTTTAGGTGACGTTACGTGTGTTTATGTGCTATTATTGCAGGGTTTTTGTGTGTATTATTAACGTAACTAGACGGCCAGTCGGAGCAAGCGGTTTTACGAAACAAAACTGGATTCACCGCAAAACTAAGTTTTCCCTATGGGTTTTATAAAATTTTGCCCAATAGTTTTATGCATTTGTGTGTAACTTCTTGATTTATTTTGATTGGTGCACTTTGTAATATCTAGCAAATCTTTCTGTGCTGGGTGGACACCTTTTAAGCACCTGTGTATGAGTAATGTGTCGTCATCCATCTGGGATCTGGCAGCATATGCTGTGTTGCCCACTGTAATCCTGTTGCCATCATTAATGGACATCAGGGTAGACGAGTGGAGGTTGAGTTGGGACTTGACAGGAAATCTTTAAAAACTGATAACTCAACTGCTTTACATGAGCCTTATCTTAATTCTGACCAACTAAAACTTTCAGTGCTTATAAAATTATTCAGACTAAGTCTGCATGGTTAGCACTCGGTATGTTTTAGTTTATTTTGCGTCTTTAAAAAACAGCCCATGCAAATAGTTTGTCTGTAACACTCCCAAATCAACAAAAAATATTAAAACAAATGTAATCTAGATTAGCAAATGGTTTAGATCAGTGGATCCCAACCTGGTCCTTGAGGAACACCATCCTGCATGTTTTAGTTGTTTCCCTTGTCCAGCACACCTGATTCAATGATTTAATTACTTCCTCTAGTTCTGTAGAAGCATGTTAATCATCCATTCATTCAAACCAGGTGTGTCAAAGCAGGGAAACGACTAAAACGTGCAGGATGGTGTTCCTCAAGGACCATGGTTGGGAACCACTGGTTTAGATCAATAGTTCCCAAAGTTAGAGACAGAATCTGTGAATCACAAAACAGCAAGTAGGGGTTCTTAATCCAATATACAGAAAATAAATAACCTTTAGAGATGACTGGTCCGTATATTTAGCCTTAACTGTAAAAAAATTATATATAAAAACTGTGTTCATTTTTTTAATAGTCCAATGGTTGAAGAGGCTCTTTGTCAAATGGCATATTAGCAATATTTTATACTTACATCAGCAATATTCAGTGTCCAACTTGACATCAATTTTCCAAATTACAAAGAATACTTGGAAGCCGCTTTAGATTGTTTTAGTTGAGGGGAACTTTTTTTTAACCTCCTAAAACCCGAACTCTTGCATATGTGGATGCCAGGTATTAGGAGGTTAATAAACAGTTGCCTTTGAGAGTAAATTACTTGCTGCTTTGTGTCATAGTGATGCAAATTTATAAAATACAATGTTCTCCTAGTTTATTTCCAAATCCTGGTGTCTAAATCTAGATAAATACTTTTAAATGTAATTAGGGGTGCACCGATTTATCGGCCCCGATTTCCTTAATTTTGGGAAATCGTAAATCGGCCGATACTTACACGAGAAAATGATTGAACCAATTTTTTTGTAGATTTAACAACAATTGTCTGAACTTCATTTGTATTTCAGAGCACTACATCATGGCAACTTCAAATAAGTTTGTATTGTTTCTAGGATATTGTTCAAGGGTATGTTTTTCAATAAAATAAGATTGGAAAATTGAAGGTGCATTGTGACCTTATAACACCTGACGGCGTCGCTTATAAAACAAAATCGGTATCGGCCAAAGTCGAAATTGGCAGGTCAGACTTTTTAGAAATTGGTGATCGGTCAGAAAACTGCAATCGGTGCACCCCTAAATGTAATCACAAAGTCGCACACGTTTCTGGTGCAATTAAAACCAGTGATGTTATCTGAGTTTTCTGTTACTGTGGGAAAACGCAGCTCGTGTAGACTTTGGCTTTTCCTTTTTGTTTCATGTTGATAAGGCAAAGTTCAGTCAGGTTATAAAGGCGTTGCTCATATTATGAACAGATGCAGTTTTTCTGCTCTAAATAAATGTATTAGTTCCTACTTAACTTCAGAACAATAACCAACTTTTATAAGTCAAATGTAGTCATCAAGCTCATTATTTAAAAATGGTTAATGTTAAGGATTCCGATAATGCAGAAACTTAATATTTCATAATTATCACAAATATTGATACTGACTGTACGAACATCAGCGTTGTACGTGCCAACATGAGCTTAAATTTGCTATCTTCTGATGAAACGATCCAGAGCTCTGGCTGTTTGAACATAATAATTTATAGCAACATGCTTCTGGTGTTTACGTAGCTCACAGGTCTGTACAAGTCAAACATCCGTGTTCATTTTCAAATATTTTGATTATATGGAGGAAAAAAAAAACACACGCCCGTCTGCAATACTAACCAAAGTTTGACATCTTTTAAATCATGACAACAGCTAAAGTCATATGTCTCATTATCTTAAGAGAATAAATTTGATACAAATTCTGTGTCCACTGGATTTTTGGGTGTGGAGATTAAGGCAAATAAGGACAAATTACAGACTAACTACGTGCTTGGTTGTGTATAAATATTGTACCAGCACTCTTCATTCAGACACATCGTTCTTCTTAGTTTGCTGATCATACAATCACTACAAGAGACTACCAGTTTTGTGTCGCGTAGGGTTGCAACAGGAAACATCATGTCAGATTTAGTTGGAACTTTCAGTTGCTTAAATGATATTTAGATAAAGGAAGATACTTTTGTTTTGGCAGTAAAGCATTGCAGCGTTGTAGTTCAAGCTACATCTACAAATAAAGAATTTCTCACAGCCATTTGGGGCACAAAGTGTAATGCAAGAAAT